TTACAGTATTGTGTTCAATAATAAACGAATTCCGCCTAATGAGCGTTCATTTAATTACTTGTATGTGTCAGATTCTGCTTGTCATATGTAATCATTTTTAGAGTTAATAAAATAGCCTATCATTTTAATTCATTTTCATCTTTTATTTCGGAATTGCATATCCATAAAATAAAAAAAGAAACATATGTTGATCAAAAGTATTAACACTATGTAAAGAAATTCTAATAGGCCTATCACGTTTTAGTCCATGTGCAAATTTCCTGAGAAACTTCAGGCATATACGTGGTCTATCTGCCTACCTGGATCATACCTGGACGTTGAGACGAAACTTCAAAGCTTATATTCCCCCGGGGTTCCCCGGGGTTCCCCTTGCCATAAATCTCATCTTCATAGTATGTATGGTAACACGTAATAGCCACGACCGATTGTTTCTTTGTATAGTTGCACACTTTTTGGCAAGATAGAATAACAACAATAGGCCTAGCCGATAATAAACTCAGGTTTTTCGTCAGCTATTCATTAATCCAGACCCGTACCACAAGGTCGCCACCCCTTACTCCCTCTCCCTTCCTCGATACTTTAAATTAATTTAATCAGGAAAAGCTTGTAGGATTTAATGAGTTGGACTTCAAGAGAACTTTCTGGGAACAGTGCTGTAGCGGATGTTAAACATCGGTAAGTTGTTAATACTTTACATGCATCTGCACTACATGTTTTGCATGGATGAATCTCGAATTGACGTCAACTATTTTTGACAAGTATGCTAAGTTCTAAGGTTGGCCAGGCTGCTTTAACAAGTAAAACAGACAGGTAAAATATCAGATAGGATACAAGATTGATTAGTAAATCGAATAATTGTATAGAATTGGGCTATAGTTAATTAGCATACAAAAAAGCGGATGGCTTTGCTAACGCAACTAATTAGAACACATATCTTCACCGTAGTTCCGAGTTCCATCACCTTTAGACAGCTCCCGAGGCGAGTCAGACGTTCTTGTTTTTTGCGTTTATGTTGAAGCATCCGATTCAAATATCGCTACCACAAACCGAATACATCGCTAACGAATAGCGCATGAGTATATAAAAGATCGGTTGCTATTAGTGACCCCTATATCGTGCAAACAAAAGCGAAGTTCCGGTTAGACCCCGACAAATCCTGTGAAGAATTGATTTCATGTTAAACGGACTCTTAATTCTTCAAACGGTACCTACACGTTTTCGGAGAATTTAAGTTGAGATCCAAGTGGTGAGAAGTGTACATCTATTTTTTTTAAACATATTTATTTTTATATAATTCATTATTGAATGTATTTAAATAAATATCACTCATTATTTACATATATCCACCTTGTAAATATATAGTTCGCATGCAAGCATTAGCAATATGAGATACACCTTAAATTTTTGTTTTTATTTATTTATACGAATTCGACACACATTAGGAAAAAAACAGGTCTGCGCAGAGAGGATGCGTTATGTGCTCTAAAAATCTATATTTATTATTATTATTATTGTTATTATTATTGTTGTTGTCATTATTATTATTATTATTATTATTAAACAATGGATGAAGTGTGCTAGGAAAAAGAGACGTAAAAGTAAAGCCCAACACTCATGACGGTACAGTTATAAGGTCAATATAGAAAATATTATACACAGTGCAATCAAAAAACAGCCGTAATACAAGTCAATGTTACTTCCCTGTGTCAAGATCAGCTGAACGTTCAACATTGAAAATTAAAAAAATTATAGATCGGGTTGTGGAAAGTACTCTGTTTTTTGCTTTGTTTGTTTGTTTTTTGTTTGTTTTTTTTGGTGAGAATTAAAATAGTTTAAAACACGCATTTATTTATTTTACAAGTTATGAATTTGTCCACCTTCTTCTGCAACCATTTCCAACAACTTTCCAAATTCAACATTGGTGGCGCTATCACGTTTCAAAATAATCACGGTAAGCATCCCCCTTTGGCATTGCATTGTGTGACTCCAAGTCCAAATGCTTATCCATTCGAGTTGACGCCGCGGGGTTATTGTAACAATAAGCAATTTACAGTTTTTAAAATTTATATTGGATTTTGGTAGAAGTGTATCTTCAAAGATTACATTACCAAATGTATAAGGCTTTTAAATGTGTTTGCTTAATAATAAATTCGTAAAAAAAAGTGTCGAGAAGGTAACAATTTGGAAATACAGTGCACCTTCTAATTCGAGACCCCTCTAATTGAAGAACCAAATAACAATCTTGTGTTTAACACAAAGATAACCCTATAATTGGATAGCGAACCCCTAGGCCATCCCAAATTTTCAGATACCAAAAGTGGTCTCGAACTGTACTTTTAGAGGCCCGGGCATTGTTCAAAAGCTTGAGCCAAGAGATCAATAAAAAAATCTCAATGAAACGTTAATGAACGCACGTAGACATTGGTAGAACATGCAACGTAGGCATAGGTTAGCATCACATGCACCATTTGACTGTTCTATACTCGGATAAAATTACAAGATGGCTTTGATAACGGTTCCCCCTTAACACCATGCATCAGGCAGCTGCCCCGGCTTATAAATGTCAAATTGTGACATAATAAATTAAATATAAAGTCGACTGGCTAAAATTGACTACATTATAAAGTAGTACTACAGAATTACATAATATTCCTTGATCCACGTCTTTCCCTGTGTCCTCTTCGCAAAACCCGAAGGACATCGAACCATCCTGAGGGGACGACGTGATAGTATAGCCTACCTAACTAATTTTGGCTAATCATGGATAATTAAGGCTAATGGATATAGGCAGCCCTAATCCTCAAATTAACTATCTAAGAGGTTATTAACAAATTCATGTATTTCTTTTATAGTTCTAATCCATTACGGATTAGTTGGCCTAAGAGATTAAGTGTAATCCCATTAAGCCAATTCATTGTATATTACTTCCACATAATACCTCCTGCTTCCACGAACTTTTGAAATGTAAAATATCCTACAAAAAAAAAACAAAAAAAAAATCATTTCATGTGACCTACTCATTTGCTCTATGATCTAATGACCAAAGACGATTCTTTAGGGTACGGTCAAATTACAGTATATTATATTTTTCCATGTTTACTTAATTTGAAATGGCAGAATGATCGTACGATCGAGCCTAATCTACTTGTGGTTACGAAAAAATATCGGGAAGTGTCATGCTAAATTATGTACCGTATTCTCCAAGGAAACAGATGTTTGAAGCTGATTTATTTATTAAGAAAGCAGAAAACAACAGGGCTTGGGTGAGGTGCACTGTAAGAAGTTCTTTTTTTTTTATCTTTTCTTGTCTTTTTTAGGCGATAATAGGCCTACATTTTCACACCATTACTTTTAGCTTAACGTTGCCTAAAAGCAACCTCATCTTTGTTAACTTTTTTTATTTGTGAACATTTATATTTAATTTTGTATACATTTTGACCATGTATATTGACAATACCGTGTGATATTGTCTACGTCAGCAGAATTTTCACATGCCTTTCACTAAATTGAATGTAGTTGATCTTAGTTTTGCTCTTAGTTGCTGACATTAGAACTAATATTATTAATTTGCATCAATGCCTGAGGTGGTCCATTCTTTCTGAAAGGAGAGATAAACATATACCAAAATTGGTCATTAAATGCTTGAATGGCGGAGTTCCCATCTATTTAATTGATGTGTTCGCTCCCTTTGGACAGAGTTCACACTCACAACACCAGATCCAGCCTGGCGGGGTGTTTTGCCCTTCCTCTGACCAGAACTGAAGCTGGCAGAAAACGTTTTGTTTTCCGAGGTAGTGTTATCTGGAACTCTGTCCGAGGGAAATAATGACTCAACTATTTTTTATTAAATGTTTTTGATTGTATGTATTCATTTTTTAAATATATATTTATATTTTTATATTTTTATTGGCGATTTATAATTTTTAACAGTTGGTAGTTAAGAAATTTATTGTTGATCCTGGGCCCTGTGGGAGAGCAGTGTTTAACACTGAACAGGCCACTCAGATTAAAGAAGAAATAAATAAATAAATATTAGAAATGACGACACTTTCGCATTTTCTAACCGTCCCGTTTTATTTCTCTAAGCATTGACCTCGCACAACTTCAACTCACTTTTTCCATCAAAATATAATTTAATTGAATATCTCTTGTTGCCTTAAACGGATACAAGGAACAAAATAATGTTATTGTCCAAAAAAAAAATCCAAAAAATCAGAAAATTATTTCAACTGGCAAATGAAAGCATGGAAAAAAACATTGAATCAAATTAAATTCTATTTAAGTTTATTTTATTTCTTTCTTTAGGCATAATATAGATAAAGCGTATTAAATATTACAAATAGTTTAACAACTAAATAGGCATATACTGTATTCACACACGATTTGACTATATACGCAATATGAAGGGATCACCTAAGATGTTATGAGGCTACATGAAAACAGCTACAGATATCAATATTATCATGGTAATTTATATTTTTTATAGGGCGTTTTAATAGTAATAAGTTGCTGTTTTCCAATCAACCACTGACCCTATACGTATAGGGTCTTAAGCCAAAAAATTACGTAACATGGTAGGTCGGTAGAAAAAGTTTTTATTTAAAAAAAATTACCAAGAATGTGTTTTTACCTAGTAGAAAAAAACATAAAAATACAACAAAGATCAATTTTAAATCTATATTGAAGAGCAAAACTATCGCATAACAATATCGCATCGCCTTCCGTCCAGGCCAGCAAGATAGGCCTATTCCACCCTTTCAGCCTTTTTAGCCCATTAAAAATATATTTCGTTTTAGTAGGAAAAAAAAAGTAAAATGCCGAACATCAATTTCGTACATTTTTGGCCGGCCTTGCTTGGCCAACACAATTTTTTTTTATTTGGTCTAAGTAGAACTAATGATAGGCCTACTCACGATCAATCAGTTAAACTCAACTGAACTTTCATTAACCGCTAGATGGCGCTAATACCGTAATTCTAAAACCATCTGGTCCACCTACACGATACGTTTGTATACAAAACTGTACGTTTCTTTTGTTGACATTAACGTTGTGGTTAGGCTAGGCCTAGCTAGGATAAAACTATGGAGTTCCCTGTTTATGTTGTTCTTCCAGCTGCAGGAAGCGGAGAGAGGATGGGTATAAACCAGCCAAAACAATTTTGTCACATATTGGGTCTTCCACTCATTATTTATACCATTGAATGTTTCGAACGGTATGTATAGCGTAGAATTTTATTTGCATCAAAGAAACGACAGGCTAGGCCTAAGCTAGGTCTTTCTCTAGCCTCCTGCTGGCCTAACCTGATTGATGTACCTTGCTCGCAGCATTATGCTAGACTGTATAGTAGGCCTAATGCTTAGCTAGGCCTACCAGCCTATTTAAGTATTTCCAAATAGTTATATTTTATTGTAAATACAGTACAGCAAACATTTCTTACCGTAATGGATATTTTCCCGCTTGATTACAGAGGCGTTCTCGTCGACAATACTAAAAGTGCTCCTTCTTTAGGGGGAGGGGATGGGCGTTGCTTGCACCTGGGTTGGGAATATGCAACTTGGAGGTAGTACAGTTGGTCACCAACCCTTTCAAGGTCATCACTATACATCTCCCTTTTTTGAAAGACAGGGGACCTCCAGTCATTACCACAATATTCATCCAGTTATAAATATTTATTATAAATTATTTATTGTGTATATTTATTTTGCCATGTACGTAGGCCTTTTATAATAGAATATGCCATTCAGTTATACTGTATTCATTTCAAATTTATTTAAATACCTTAAAAGTCCTTTAGTAGCAGTAAAACTTTAATGTTTACACTTAAAATATGTCCAATGATGTCAAACAACTTCATATGAACAATGAAATACGTATACAACTTCAAAATTTTGAAAGAAGCAAGCAAAATGTACAGTTAGGGGTTGAATACCCGACCTCAAGTTTGGGAAACCAAACCGTTCCCGCTGCACCAAACCACACAATAATGAAATTGTTACAATATTTTAAAATGTAAATATAACTTCTTTTAATATTTCAATTTATTTTCAGGTTACCATGGATAACCAGAATTTTTGTTGTAATTTCATTGGAAAAAATGAACTACATGCAAAGAATTTTAAATGAAAGTGACTTCCAGAAGGTAGAACTTGTAGAGGGTGATTCAACCAGACATCGATCGATTAGAAATGGAGTTAACGCAATATGTAATCCTGATGATAATGAACAAGCAGATATGGAGAAAGGTGTTGTGATTATACATGATGCAGTGCGACCATTTGTTGATGAGGATACTTTAAGGAAACTTACTTTGGCTGCATCAGAGTTTGGGGTTAGGAGTGTTCAATATTACAGTACAATGCATTCCAATTTATTTTCTATTTATTGTATAGACCTCTGTTAAGGAAATGAATACAATTAATAGATGATTGTAAATAAAGAAATGAAATTATTACGGTAACTGTAATATGGCATAATAAATAAAGGATTGTGCTGATTGATGGAGGTAAAAATAAAGGATGATGAAAATGAGGAATAAGATGAATATGTAGTACAATTTGCATGATAGCACAAGTGAAGCTCTGCCTAATAATGTAAACATCTACAATATGTGACCACAGGGATCTTAAGTTAGAAGAAATCCCTTCCTGGAAATCTGGTTAAGGGCACATAGAAAAAAACTATTAGATTATCTCTCTCTTTAAAAAAAATTGATGAGGGTAAAAAAGATCAGTACGTGGGTCTATCCTTCACCCTAAATCTTTCGTAATTTACAGAAACATGCCCACAGGCCTCCACCTAACGTGTATAGTATAATTTATAATATAATAATATGATAAATCTTTATTTGTCCTCAAATGGGCGGAGTCCCTAGGGACCCGCGGCAGCTGCAGTGCAGCGCCACCAAACTTAAACTACAACATACAACGGATACTAGGTAACTTTCCTGTAACGGTTATTCAAAGAGCTGAGCATTTATAAAAGACCCAAATTCAATACTCGAACCTGGGCCCTGGCGTGCGAGAGACAGGAAGCATACCAATCAGCCATATGCTCAGCTCACACCTATTATGTGATTGTATGTAGTGAAATAATGCTTAATGTGTTTCTGGTCACATAAATGTATCCACTTTGTAAAATATTTTTTGCTCATCAACAGCAAAAACAATGCAAAAGGTATACAGGTCTCCCTCCAATTAGAGACTCATATCATATTGACAAATCTCTTATATTTTTTATTCAAATTAGAGACCAAATCTGCACTAAAGACCATGGAAACCCCAGTTTGAGAAGTGGTCATTAATTGTAGTGAGACCTGTAATTGTATACCATTTATCCACCATATGAAGCAGCACTTGTCCCCCATATGAAGCAACACTTGTCCCCCAAATGAAGCAGCACTTTTATTTGTCCCCTAAATGAAGCAAACGGTACTTCAGTTTGCTGGTCCTTGGGTTCATGGGCAACCATGCCAAATGTGCGATTGTCTCCACTCCCTGAGGAATATACTTGCCCTGTTCCCAGTCTCTTTGTCTTTATATTATTTATTACATTTTAGCTTGCTCTTTTCATGTTATTGTTCTGCTTTTGTTTTACTTGTGTGACATGTTCTTTCATTTTGAGGCTTGTGTTGTTATGTCTTTTGTAGTTTTGTCATCTTTTCTTCTATCATTTTTTTACCTGTCCTGGCAATCCTCAAATGTGTCAAGTGTGTCCCTTAATTTTTTTTCCTTTTTGGGCTTGCAAATTTTATCCAATTTTATTTTGCGTATATGTTTTGTGATAACTAATGTATGAAATAAATTAATTTAAAATAAATAAATAAATGCTGATCCATATATTCTCAAACCTTTGATAAATATTTTGAATTTCCTATTTTATCATTTAATTTATGGAAATAATAACCTTAAGTAGTCTCCTTTAAGTGATGCAAGCATTTTTGTGATAAATATAGTTATTGTCAAATTTTCAATAATATATAGGGTGTGCCCTAACAGTGCCCCTGATTCAATGGCCTTATAATTGTATCTTGTTTATCATAATTTTTTCTTTCCAATCTTTTTTCAAACTTCCATACATATATACATATAAGTAATAGACAGTTTTTTCTCATGTATGTTATTACAGTAGTATGGTTTTTTTGCTCATATTTCTAGGCCTCTGGTGCCATACGTCCCTTGGTTTCAACAACAGTTGCAGCTGACGAAGATGGCTTTCTAGACCATACGTTAGTTCGGTCAAAATACCGAGCCAGCCACACTCCTCAAGCGTTCTCCTATCCCATCATAAAAACAGCATATGAAAAGGTAAAATTAAAAAATTATAGCATAGAAATCCTTTTGTGCAAGATTTATTTATGAGCAATATAATGTAAGGTCAGTGACATTGAGTTTACTGTTCAAACATGAAGGTATATTACTACAGTACTCTGTACGTAAAATATAGAAAAAATGTTGAGAGTCGGGTTTTTCTGTTTGCTTGATGTGATGACCCTATGACCTTTGTTATAGGATAATAAGTCAATCAGATTTTCTGTTGCATTTTGTAGATTTCTGAGGATAATTTGGACTTTGGGACAGAGTGTTTGCATCTTGCTCAGGAATATTGCCAAGTAAAGGCAAAGTTAATTGAAGCGCCAGACGATGTTTGGAAGGTAGACCAATCAGACATTATTTTCACAGAGCTTTTTTAATCCGGAAATTTGTGATATAACAGAAGAAATTTAGGAAGCCCTAGAACTACTAGTACTGTACATTATTTTTATTATCATTTTCATTTTAGGTCAACTAACAGAGATAAAAGCTTCTAATAATAAGACAATACTATAATAAAGAATGTAAAAATTAAACACAAATAACAGGCCCCACATATAAAATAATGACAGATGATATTATAATAATGGATAATGGAGACACATTGATCCATTGACAACATACTGACATTACAGTACATTACAAAAATTTAAACTACCAAAACCTATAGATCACATAAATACTTAGATATTTACACACACATAACATCAACACAACCCAAAAGTTGATTTATATTCCTTCTATTTTAAATATGCCTTGGCCCATGTAAATTCAGTATTGTATAAAGAAATTAGAGTAAGCATTCTAGTGTCACTAAGCTGATCAATATTGTTTAACATAAATTAACACCGTTCTAATGGAAATAATCTATTCCATGATCTGAACCTGTCTGCTAGATATATCTACATTCAAAGAGCAATTGATTATTTATATTAAATACAACTGTGATTTTTTTTTTCCAAAAATACCTGAAATCAAATGTACTGTAATATTATACAGTTATTTTTTGAAATTCTACATTTTGTAAATATTTATACATGTAATTGCAAAAAATACCATTATGCACCCAAACTATGATATCAAAAATTATAATAATATTTAGTGTGGTAAAAAAATATGTGTTTATAAAGGTTGTGTTGTAATAACATTGATAGATGGAATTGCAGAGCAAATAGAAACTTGGTCTCTTTGTGATTCACAAAAAAAATTGAACACGAAAAATGTAGCAAGCTACTATAGCACCCAAACCAAAGTACTATTACGCTACAGCGTTACCAACAGCTAGAGATCTATAAATATGTAGTCAAAGGCTCTACAATAGAGAGTAGATATTATATAAGTAATGAATGCATGTTTGTGAGTGCAGTGGAATGGAATGATTTCATTTAATGAAATATGTGAGTATATAATATTCAAAAAGGAGCCTATCCCAATTTATGAATAAGAAAAATGTATTAGACTTTATACAACATGGTGTTTGATCACTGATGCATTCATTGAATGGAACAAAAATATTAACGAAAAGTAACATCAGCTGTGTAGTGTACATTTTTCGTTGAATGGATATTGTTAAATCAAATGGCAAGAATCTAAATATGTGCTGTACCAGAGACACCAAGCTGTGTAAAAACCAATAAATATGTTCAGTATACTTGAATGTACAACATCAATAACTTTTAGACATTATTTACAATCATGATATAGTCAAAATACACAAAAGCCTAGTTTACATAAACAAATTCTGAGCGTATGTCTAACATAAAACATGTGGGTAGCTTCCTCATATCGACATAGTTCATTTATTTATTCTGTCCTTTTACTGCATGCACTTTCAGTACTTGTGTATTGTTTTTCAAAGTGGTACAGACAGTTACTTACATATTAAAC